TGATCCAACCGATTTCTTTTCTTAGTATGAATCTATTAATTCAAAAATTGAATGTGTAAATTTAAGATAGTTTATCCAAAAATATGGAAGTATTCTAGTGTAGTAGTTTGGCACACATGCTCAAATACACTCCAATTTCGCTCACACTCCGATGCACTACATGTCAAACTTAGTACTTTCACTACAATCTTTTGTAGATTCGGGGTAGAAGCACCAAATATGGTCCACCAATCAACTAAAAAATATAAATATTAACTGAATTAGTGATTATTAGACTAATTAAAAATATTAAGAGAATCAAATATTATATTAATTATTAAATCAATGTTATTTACATGGTGCTTTAATCTTCCTCTGGGAAATAGCCATATCAAAACCAAAAATGCTTTCTGCATTCTTGTACTTGGATATTTCATTAGTGATTACACTTCTCTTGTTCTTGTCCTTCTCAAGCAATCTCAATTACTTTAAAAAACCCCGTCATAACCTCTTCATTTGTTTCAATTCTCTAGTGATCATCATAATAAAATTGGGGGTTCAAAAAGTAACCAACTGCATGCAATGGTTGGTGGAGTTGGCATTCCCACCTCTTATCAATACTTTCAAAATTTTCTTCATATTTTTCTTTCCTTCCACCAAATGCCTTGTCAATGGCCTCCTTTGCTCGATCCATAGCCTCAGAAGTATAACCCATGGAAGGCTTGTTTTCACGATCCCCCAACCTTGATACACGAACGAGAAGGCCACACATTTTAAGAGTAAAGATGACATTATTCCAAAATGTGGGTATCATTACTATCTCCCCTATTCTTTTCCCTTTTGCTTCTTTTATCCATTTGCTATTATTTCATTCCTTTGAGTTGAATAAATCTCTCAAATTCCTCTTTTGTTTCTATGTACTCTGCAATGTGAGAAAGGAAGTAGCAAAACGGGTTTTTGCTGGCCTAATCAATTCTCTCTGATTTGTGAACTTCTTCATCAGGTTCAATAAACCTGGATGGTTATAGATTTACCCCGTAAGTGCAATTGCCCTCTCAATTGTTCTCTTCACAGTAGGCAACTTCCCAATGTCTTCCAATATCAAGTCCAAACAATGGGTAGCACACGGTGTCCATGTCAGATGAGGATGCTTTGCCATCAAAAACCTCTCTAATAATACAAGAAAACATATCAAGAAATAAGAATTAAGAAATGTGACTCACTGGCTATGACATAATTTGATGCGTTGTCAATAATAACTTGGAGCACATTTTTCTCACCAATTCTCTCCACCATCTTGTCAAGCAATATAAATAACCTCTCAGCTGTTTTTATTTCACTCGAAGCATCAATGCTCTCTATAAACATTGTCCCCGCACGGCTACGGACCAAAAAATTTATGAGGGTCCTATCCTTTCTATCTGTCCACCCATCAGACATAAGAGATCAGCCCCATATTCAAGGGAATATCAGCTTGATAAAGCCATCTAGTAATGCGTATGCATACTTGCTCTCTCCCTTCTTTATTATACGCATCACTAATAGTGGTTTGCTTAATCTTTTTCTGTTCTCTTCTCAAATTCACAATTTCTTCTGGGCTTGGAGTAGGAAAAATTTATCCTAAGCATAGTTTTCAAGGCGCCAAGGCGAGGCTGGGCGTTAGGGGGGCGCCTTGTCGCCTAGTCGCTTAGGCGATGGATTTTTTTATGTATAAAACATAGATCCTAGGGTAGTTTCCTAGGTACCATAGCCATATTTCCTTAATAATTATTCATAATTTTCATAAGAAAGGTATAGAATTCATGTTAAAGTATAGAAAATGTGTTGATTAGACAAAATTTTAAGTTCTTCCTTGTTTATTGGTTCAGGTTTTAAAGTCTTTGTGGGTTCAACCCAGCATTTAGGAATGTTTGTATTGATTAAATCCTAACAAATAAGAAAATAATAAAAASAAAHTARTWTATAAAMAYAHAAAATGAATATTTTAGTTTAATAGTGCCTATTTTATAATTATAATGTCAAAAAATAAAGAATAAAAAAGTATTTTACAATACATAGCACAAAACTGCTTGGAGATTAGGCGAGGCGACCCTCAAAGGGCGCCTTGTCGCCTAGGCGCCGCCTTGACAACTATGATCCAAAGGCCCCTTTTGCCTTCTTATTTCACCTCTTTTGAGCATTTAGGACAAACTTTTACGTTTCTTCTWCCACCAACCAAATGCTCTTTTGCTCTATAGATTCCTCCATTTGTCACTTTGCCACAAAATTTTAAGTGACAGAATTTGTTTTCTTTGGATCTTGCAAATAACAATATTTCCAGCCCGGGTCTTTCCTATTGCTTTCTTGAGTATTGTCGGACTTGTCTCCCATCTCTTTACTCTACTTGGTTGGCAAAATTTCCTATTTGAAAATGACAAATTGCAATTTGCAACTATCAATACTCATATTTGTTAACCTATCTCCGAAAATAAATAAACTATTCTTGTTGTACTCGATAATAACACAAATAAATAAACTATCCTATTTGATAATGAGAAAAACTGAACTGTTTTAACTCACTAAGAAGCAAGACTGCAATTCTGCAAGTATGCAAGTCTTTGTAGAAACTATAAAGAAGAATGGGCAGCTTTAATGATAAAAACTAAAAAACAATGGGGTGGGCTGTGGAGCCCCTATTTTAATGAGAAAAACTGAACAAAAAATGGGGCGGATCCCCTATTTTTATGATAAAAACTGAAAAGCAATATGTTTCAATGAGAAAAACTGATCAAATGGGACGAATCCCCTGTTTTTATGATAACAACCGAAAAACAATGGGGCTGAGCCCCTGTTTTAATGAGAAAATTTGAAAAAAAAATGGGGTGGATCCCCTGTTTTTATGATAAAAATTGAAAAAACAAATGGGGCATAGCCCCTGTTTTTGTGCAAGAAACAAGACTGCAAGAAAGAAGAAGAATAAACAAGACTGCAAGAAAGAAGGAGAGGGCGGAGCCCCTGTTTTACTGAGAAAACTTAAGGAGAGGGCGGAGCCCCTGTTTTACTGAGAAAATTGAAGGAGAAGAAGAAGAAGAAGAGAGAAAGGGCGGAGCCCCTGTTTTACTGAGAAAACTGAAGAAGAAGAAGAAGAAGAAGAAGAAGAAGAAGAAGAAGAAGAAGAAGAAGAGAGGGAGAAGCCCCTATTTTACTGAGAAAACTGAAGAAGGAGAGGGCGGAGCCCCTGTTTTACTAAGAAAATTGAAGGAGAAGAAGAAGAAGAGAAAGGGCGGAGCCCCTGTTTCAGCCTGGACTACCGACTGCCGCAGGAAGAAGAAGAAGAAAAAAATATACATAACATACTTGATACTGTAGCTTTGTTCGATTCAGGCTTGGAGTCTTGGACGAACTTGAGCTTGAATGAGCTTCTGCTTCCTCTGGTTTGGACTCTGGAGTGCAAACTTTTGGACGAAGGAAGTCTTCCCTCCAAACTTTTTTTTTTCTTTTGGTTGTTTTGGCAAAGACCATGTCGATTCAGCTTCCTTTTTTCCCAAGTTTCCTATTTTGTTTTTTTTTTTAATTTTTTAATATAATTTCGAAATTTGTTTTAAGTTGAATTGTGTAAACATCATCCAGGCGCTCACTTGGGCCGCTTGTCGCCTGGCCTGAGGTGCACACCTAGGCGCAGAGGCGAGTGCCTGTTCAAGGTTTGTGCGCCTTAGTTTGGGCGAGGCGTCTAGCCTGGAAAGCACCTCACCTCTGCACCTAGGCATGCCTCGAGCGTACCTTTTAAAACACTGATTGTGGCTGATATCACTTTTGGGAGGGTTCGGTATTGATTGTGAGAAGCCAATGGTGCTCTATTGTGACAATCAGACAGCTATCTATCAACTTTGCACATAATCCTATTTAGCATGACAGAACTAAGCACATAGAGATCAATAGACACTTTATACGGGAAAGAGTTGTTTCAGGGGAAGTTTGCTTGCCATTCATTGCTTCAAAGGAGCAGTTGGCTTATGTTTTAACTAAGGGTGTTCCAAAAGGAAAATTGATTCACTATATAAGCAAGCTGGGCATGATTGACATCTATGCTTACCTTAAGGGGGAGTGTAGAGAGACTAGGCCGAATGGGCCCGAGTACTTGTTTATGTTTTAAGTAGCATTATGTTTACACTATATGTGTTAATGGGCTTCATTATGGGCCTATTAACTTGTTTTGTTTTTCTTTTAAGTTACTTATGTGCTGGCCGCCCACTTAAGGGCGGAGATGTAATTGGTCCATGTTATTAATGTGAAGATTGGTCCCCTCCTTTACATTATAGTGTTAAACTGAATTTTGATGGCAGCTCTGTAGGTAATCCGGGCTCCTGTGGAATTGAAGGTGTTTTCAGAGATGTGGAAGGAAGAGTTCTGGTCCAATAGGGCTGGGTGACTCACTTAGAGCAGGAAGTATTGGCACTCCTTCAGGGGCTCAGATTGGCTAAATAATTGGGTTTTCAGCAGTTAGAAGTGGGGGGATAGTCAAAATTTGTAGTAGGTTGGATGCAAACAAACAGTTTGGGCATTTGGTCCCTTAGATAGCCTGTAAGGGAGATATTGAACCTAACAAGGGAGCTTGAAGCACATTTTAAATGGTCTAGGAGGTCAGAAAATTCATTGGCTGATGCTTTAGCAAAGCAAGGAGTTAGTAAGGAAACTTTATTTTGGGCTTGTTTGTAAGTTGTTTTAATTTTGAGGGGTCACATTGCTTATGAAGGTGACAGCTGTACTTTAAAATTAATGAAAGTTACCGCTTCCCATAAAAAAAAAAACAAAAATAAGCCTCCTGTCTAATAAGTATTGTCAAATATGCATTTACAGTCACATTTTAACAGCTCCTTTTTCTACAGCTTTTTTGATACACAAATTTCCCTTTTTTTAAAGTTTCTGTCCCTTTATCATTCTTGATGTGTTTCTATTGTATGACACCTTCTCTTGTCTATCTTATTGCACGGAATTTCTCCATGTTATATCTGAATATTACATTTCTACCTGAAATTTTGCAGATACAATCATTCTTGGCAGGTGTTCCTTACATTGTTATCGGATTCAGGTATTCCATTTATGTACATCTCTCTGTCCCCCCCACACCCAAAATCCTTTAATCTATTAATGCCTTTCATTTCATTGCCACTGGAAAAAGTATCTAGAGCTTTGAAACATGTCATGATCTGAATTATTAGGTGCATTTCTATTATCAGTTGACCATCTTTTGACTGTTTGAAAGAAACGTGGTGCATGGAAGATGCTGTAAATAATAATGGAAGTCCTTTTCATGTATCTCCCAAATGAATAATTCTCACATGAGTCCAAAGTTCTGAAGAGGCTGAAATTCAAGATGGGCCACCATTAGATATGCTACACTACATGCAATTTTCCAGGATGACAATAATCTTGTTCCAATTCCTGCAATTTTCACCACCTGTAAATGTTGCTCACTGAAGAAGTCTTACCTGACTTGTCCATTATTGAAATGGTAAATTCATCTCGCAATTACAATGATAAAGGCTCATTATCCAATGTTATGTCCCAACTATCATGTGAAGGGTAGACTGTAATGGACCTAACCTTTGGCATTTTCTTGCACGGAGTGGATGATCAGTCTTGAACCCCTGTTCTTACACTTGTCCTCCCTAGATTTTACCATTGCACCTAGTCTATGGCCCCCATGTTATTACAATGATATTATTTCTTAATGGGATGGTAGTGCTCCTGTAGCAATCAGAACAGCTCGACGGAGAAAATGCCATAGTATATGACTTCATCTTGGTGAATGCCACAAATTGCTGCTGGATAGGGTTGCAACTTCTATCTGGTTTTACTCAAACCTCACTCACCTAACTGAAAAATAAAAGTAGAGTTCAACATCTGGTTAATGTGAGAGAATGTTCAAGCCATTTTAAAATGAAGTTGATCTAGATTTGATGCCTCAAGCAGCGCAGTGCAATTCTGGTGCACTATATATTTCGTGTGCATGTATTGCTTTCTTGGGGGATAGAGGTATGTGATGTTATTGTAAGGGTGATTACATTGGGTGATTGGGTCAGATTGGGGTTAGTGTTGAGGGCTCAACATATGGTTGATCTCAACTTGGTTCAGGTTCATAAAGGACAGGACTAGTAGCATTCCTGGAAGCACTTCTTGTTCCCTACTAAAGCCACCACAACTACCAATTAAGAACTCATTATTTCATTTGCCCTACCTCAATTAAGGTGCATGCGAGTATTTATAGCTTGCAACTTATACCATCTTTTCTATTTTTATTGCATCTTGAGTTGGTAAGGCTTCCTAGGTCTGCTTTTAGTTCCTCACATAAACACCTAATCCTGTCTATGAAAAAAATTTCATAATGGAGCCCCCCCCCCCCCCTTTGCAAGAAAAGATAAAAATATCCTTGGTAAGAACTCCATAATCTTGGGTTCATTAAACAGCTAATGAAATGAAGATTCTAGCTAATGTGAAATTTAAGTCATTTGAGACTCTTCTGACTTGATGCTCCTATTTGAATTTTGAGCATTACTGTATACACCACCAATTATCTTCACTGATACCCATATATTATTCTTTGAAGTAAAGTAATTAACATGGATATTGGATAAAAATGTCTACTGAGCTGATTTTATGGGCAAGAGTAGGGTGGGACTAAATGAATGTTATATTTCTCCTTCCTCATGCTGCTTGTTATGTGTGCTGCCATATCTCCTCCTGATTTTATCCATATTTGGTACTGGTACTATATGGTAATTGATATTGTCTTTTGTGGATGCAGGGATGATTCAGGCCGTCTTGTCCGCACAGAGAGACTACGAACCAAAGATATTACACAGTGAATAAAATGAAGGGCTACTGGCAGGTATGAGAATTTCTTATCTGCTGCAAAATACAGGGAAAATAAATTTATGTAATCATCTGCACCATCTCCTTCATGGGACATCTTGGTGTCCCAATAACTTTGACCGAAGCTTTGGGGTATTTATACATAATTTTCTGTTATTGGTAGTGCCTATTTGAATTGGTTTCTTTTCTTTTCTTTATTTTTTTAATCTGTCAACATATGACGTAGAAGTTGTTATGATCAGCATTTCTCTACCCATAAAGATAGGTTGCCCTCCATCTGCTTATTTGAGCCTGTTTCGAGCAATTCAATAGACATTGATTCTTGGGCCAACAAGTACTGTGCAGAAAAGAAGTTATCGTGGCTAGAWWATAGGTTCAACTAAGGATTTCATTTGAACAAATGCAGAAGCAGAGATGGAGTGGATGATGTCTTCTTTTTTTCTTTCTTTCTTTTTTATTTRCAGGGAGATGGGGGAGGAACCATCCTCCCACCCACTGTACTACAGACAGTCGCATAAATAGTGGGGTGTACTTAATAGAATGAACCATCTATTAGATGATTAGATCAGTGGGTTCAGTTAAATGTCCTACTTTACCCCTTGTCAACTAAATGTTCATTTTAGAGGAACAATCATAGTGAAAAACAGCAATTGCTGACCAAGAATTTGGTTAAATCATTATTAATGTCAATTGATCAACAGGGAGGAGTTTGCCTGGCATTTACTGACGAGGTGTTATGCTGGCTCTATGGGACAGTTAAAGAGAGTTGAGTTTTGGCCTGTCCTTTCTTTCCTTGTTTTTTTTTTTTTCATTTTTCTTACAACTAAGCTTTTTAACAAGTGATAATGTTGATTTGCTTTGAACTTTGGCTCCAGATGAAGACTACATCTTACAGTTTGCCCCACCTTTCAACCGTTTGGAGCTTCTTCAAGCCCAGTCTTGCCCGGATGTAATTACTAGCCATATAGAGCAGTTATAAGCATAAGGAGGCAAATTTGGTATACTTGTATACATGGGCGGAGAAGGAGATAAATTTAAATCATTTGCAAGCTGTAATTCTTTTTTTACTATGCACGGTGCGTGCTCAAGTCAGTGGTTATCTGCTTCTAGTAGACCAGCAGCTCTCCAACAAAGGAGTTGATTAGACTATTAAAGCATGAGATGAGCGGGGAAACCAGCCCAACAAAGGAGTTGATTAAACTATTAAAGCATGAGATGATCGGGAAAACCAGCCCGGATATGCTGAAAGCAAAAAGCGTGCGAACACACTGAGAGTATATCATACTTGGAACGTTAAATTCATTGCGACATGTTCCCAATGTGCTCCTGGATGCTGTGCTATTAGCATGCAAGCATGATTTTTGATAAATACCGTCTTCAAAATTAGAAAAATCTATGCTGCCGAAATGACATGATACTGGAAGGGTTTTGGCCAAATTAATTGGTTATAACTTTTATGATACCGGTTGATTGGTTACAAGTTTTTCCCGTATCATAATCTACCCCACAAATTAATTTTAAGAATTACTTGTAGTCATATATATAGTAAGATGCATCTTCAATTCAATCCAACCCAACCCAACTTTAGCTGATTGAATTGGACTCGCTTTGGCCCGGTCCATGTTATTTCCTGGGAGGTAATCCAAACCAAACTGTGAACACAAGTCAACTCGGCCGAGGCCCGAGGGTCAACCAGCCCCACTCTTGCTTGGTGCTACTGCCATGGTTGAATTATGAATGGATCGATGAGTGAGGAGAGAGGACATTAGATTGGACTAGCTTGGGCGTTCGGCCTGGTTGCCCCATCAGGCCCATCTTCATTCTCTRTTGTATTAGACTTGAGTCCAACTCAATTCTGGGCCAGAATTGGACCCTAAAACCAGGAATATATAAAGCTTCAGTCTTCCCAACTTTCTTTTCCCTCGCTTTCGAATCCTGTGAGTGTTGACATCAGCAGAAGGAAGAAGGGAGGGGGGCCATGGTTCACGTCAGTTTCTATAGAAACTGTAAGCCCCCCTCTCTCTCTCTTGTATATGCATTACTTCTTATTGCATCTGGATCTCATCCATTCGTTCAATTTAGGATCGTTGTTCTCCGATCATCGTCTTTCATGCATTTTTAACCATTCAATCTCTGCAATTTCTTCGACCTTGATCTCTGGCTTCCTCTTTGTAAAGTTAATTTTGGTTTTGACTTGCCAACTGCGTCTGCTTACTGCAGACAAGGTTTGGGTTTTAGGGTTTAAGTTCGTTTTGATAGTGCCGTCCCGTCCTCCCTCTTCTTTTAGTGGACTTTCCTTTTTGTGTAAAATAAAATAAACTGTAGTACTGGGATTGTTTCAGATGGGAAGACTTTCAAGAAGCCTCGTCGTCCGTACGAGAAGGAGCGGCTGGATGCCGAGCTGAAGCTCGTGGGAGAGTACGGGCTCCGCTGTAAGAGGGAGCTGTGGAGGGTTCAGTATGTGCTCAGCCGCATCCGTAATGCCGCGAGGATGCTTCTAACTCTTGATGAGAAGAACCCCCGCCGTATCTTTGAGGGCGAAGCCCTTCTCCGTAGGATGAATAGATACGGGCTCTTGGATGAGAGCCAGAACAAACTTGATTATGTGTTGGCCGTGACTGTGGAGAATTTTCTCGAGCGCCGTCTTCAGACACTTGTGTTCAAGTCTGGTATGGCAAAGTCCATCCACCATGCCCGGGTGCTCATCAGACAGCGACATGTCAGGTATAAACTACAGTTTTAACCCGTCAATGAAAAAGGCAAACGATGTTTTTTACAATTTCAGCTTCTTGAATCCTGTCGTGGCTTCATGTAATTGCTATACTTTGTAACTTTTGGCATTTATCGGTTGCTTCATCATTGCATCTTCAGCTTACCTGTTTTGATTCTTTTGAATGATAATTGAAAGTAGGGGTGTCAATGGACCGGTTTTGGGTTGGACTCCGTCCAAAWCAAAATCCATTTGGACAGATTGGACGGACCAATAAGACATATTGAATTTGGATGGACTGGACGGACCAATATGACATATTGGATTGGACCTGGTCTGTCCATAATGAATTTATATCGGATTGAGCCAATATCTGGTCCATTGATAGAAGATTATAACATATGTGTCAATGGAACTCAACCAATCTAAATTAACAGGAATTTGAAATGTCTCTGGACCGGTCCAAAATATTCATTGGACCAGGTCCATTTGCAATGGACTCACATTGGACTGGACCGGATTGGACCAAATCCAGTCCAATTGACACACCTAATTGAAAGGGGCATTATTAGGCTGTGCTTAGATTTGAAAGGGGTCTGCGATGGAATGATTGATCAATAATACTTGCTACTAAAGTTTTCATCAAACATGAAGTGAATTTGTTGATCCTTTCCCATCATATGTTTCTTCTGCATAAATCCAAATACCTAGATGTTTATAATTTTTATATATGATATATGATAAAGAGATTCTGGATGTTAATAAAACTAAAAGGACTTGATGGTTTTTTATCTCACTTTTTTGTTAGAATGGTCGTTTATTTGAATCAGACAGTCAAATCGTCGATCTGAAAAYTAATGGCCAGAACAATTCTGGTTCTAAGTCGTTTTTTTAAACATTATCTAAGCAGTTGGGGGCCTTGGGGTAAGGAATTATATATATATATATATATATAAGCTAGAATGAATTAATGAAATGGTATCTTACTTGTGTGTGGCTGGTCTGGGCTGGGATTTTTGATCCAGTTTCATCTAAGGTTTTGAGAAGATATTGTTGTTGGATTTTATTTTGAAAATTAAAAGAATAAGGAAGGGTAAAATTGATGGCAAAGGGATAGTTTTGACATTGACAAAAAATTATATAAAACACGTGACATCACATACCAATGGGTTATAATGACATAGATTGTATACCTTAAGTATTTAACCCTATATATAATGACCTACTTGCCTGTAAACTCTAATAAGCACAAATGGCCTAATTGCTTATGCCTTGTAAACTCTCTTTGATCTGCTTCTAAGTTTTAACTCCACTCCTGCAATCTGCCGCCAATCTTCAATCACTCTGAGTGAGGATAGGTGTAGCCGTGTAGGTTTCAGAATTCTTATCGATTGGGTTGGGTTCTGGCCCATCAATTTGGGCTGAGGTCGGGCCATAGTTCGGTCCAAATGCAATGTACATTGGTTGAATTGGACCTGGGCTGCCTACATACGAGCCCGGATCTCCTGCCCACGTTTATTGCAGTCACATAGTATTATGCAGAGATGTTTCCAATTCACAGGGGTGGTGTATTGTGAACAGGCGTGGGCAGGTTCTCGTGGTCAGGAGATCCGGAGTCCCTACATACTGGCATCTGACGCATCGATCTTTTTTATGCTATCTGACACGTGGCAAGTTAGTGCAACCGTCTTTCCCTCCTCTGGTAGACTACTTAGGAGTAGGGAGTCAGGACCCTCCAGAAACTTGTGCACCTCTTGGCTCTTGCGGCAAGGCGAGGCAAGGCAACATCGACTTGTTGGAGAAGAAGAAGAAGCGAGATGCAGGAGAAAAGGGCTTTGAGTAGCTCAGTCATGGAAGGCATAACGAACAGACTCTCCTCTCTGGAGGATCTCTATTTCCCCCGCGCTGTCCAGGCAACTGCCGTCAATCCCTCCCAGCGAAAATCCATTCTCCTCGACCTCCTCTCCAGAGACGCCGCTGTCTTCTTAGGTATCTTACTCAGGCATCTCTCTCTCTCTCTCTCTCTCTCTGCTGACCCTAAAATGAAGTTGTATATTTCTATTATGAATTCAGAACGGTACGGCCCACATCTGACCAGCGAAGAGCTTCATGAGTTCGACACCTTGAACAACGATTACGAAGTCAATTGGCATCTGAAGCACCTCCGGAGCGTACTCAGTCCGACTTCAGAAGAGGTGCGTTCTCGATCCGTTACCGTCAAGAACCGTCGTCGCGCTTACCTGGATAAGCTTATTCGTGATGGGAATTACTTCTCCGAAGACGCCATGAGAGAGCGGGAGCCCTATTTGCATCACGAGTATGTTGGCAAGTTTCAGGATCCTAGTGGGAGAAGAATGGCACGACCCGGGGAACGGTGGTCGGAGACGCTGTTGCGACGGTCGGAGGAAGCTATTTTGGTTGCGAAAATTAGGGGAGAGCAACAGAGGTTAGGTGTTGTTGAGAAGGATTGGGTCGGTAATGAAAGAGAATTGGAAGAAGAAGAAGAAGAAGAAGAAGAAGAAGAAGAAGAAGAAGAAGAAGAAGAGGAGGAGGAGGAGGAGGAGGAGGAGGAGGAAGAGGATGAAGAAAGCGACGATTATGAAGAAGCCGAGAAATTAGAGGTAAATGTCGAATAATTTCTTTATTATGTGGGGTGTGAATTTCCTTGTCTGAAATTAATGCCTTCTTCTTAAACCCTGTTATTCATATAGAACAATTTTTATATGTATTGTTAGAATAATTAAAACCGGTAAACTCTCCGCCTTTAGCGTGTTCAAGCATTGGTATTCATTGTTCTCGAAAGGCGTCGGTTTCAGTGGCATGCATATGATATATCGTCTTTAGGTTTATGCAGTGACTATAAATGCCTGGAGTAAATAAATTTATGGTCTCAAGTAATAAATTTCTCTCATGTATTGGAAGCAGAAAGGATATAGTTTGATAAAATTGTCGAGTATTTTGCTTACTATTCAAACCCACCTTTACCCACTTCATCTTCTGCTAATTGATCAGCTATAAGGTTACATTTTCTAGGCACCCACATCAATTGATTAGGGACCATTTCTTGGACCAACAGTTCTGAGAATGCATGTTCAAGTCTGAGAGTGGCCACTTTGTGCCAGATAAAAAAGCAAAAGTGTATGCCTATAACCACTCTGCCCTCCCAATATCCTGGATAGCAAGAGCATCATGCAGTAAGAAGGTTTAAGAATAGGAAACATCATCGAACAACCCAAGTTTCAAAAGTTTTTTTCCAGGTTGAAGATGGCTCTCCTTGAGGTTGGTCCTAGTAAGAAGATAAAGAGCAAAGGATTTCTTTCTTTGCTGTTGGAGAAATGGAGTAATTGTTACTGATAAAAAAAAGAAGTTTTTTGTTTGCAGGGTGTTTGGGTTGGAATTTGGGGTTGAGGTTGTGTAGGGTCTGTCTGGGTGTGTAATGGTTCTTTCTTGGGTCAGGTTTATAAAGGGGATTTAACTTTGTTGAGTTTCTTTGGGAGAGTCAGATTCATTAAGGGATAGTTTTGTTGGTTTTGTTCTACCAGGATGCGGGCTATGGTTCGTCTTAGTTGAAGTTTGTAGAGGATGTTTTGTCTTGGTTTTGTTTATATTTGTGTGGGTGATATCTTATTACCCCTTTGTAAGTTTTCTCTTCTCTCTTTACTACCAAAACAAAATTGGCCCTTTAATGCTCTGGTAAGTCAAGTTCTATCTTCATAAGGGTTTGGTTGGCGGAAGTTTTACTGTCASCTGACAATTAGGGGCAGAAACCAGGAGATCTCTCAATGTGACCTCTTTTGTTACCTCGGTCTGATAATTCATAACAAGGATGAGATTGAGAAGAGTGTTTCCTATACATCTAGAGCATGTTGGACAAAATAGAAGGGTCCATCAGGAGTGCTATGTAATCAAAGAATAACACTTAGACTAAAAGGAAGACTTTATAAAATGGATAAAAGGTCAGCAATGTTGTTTGGAGCATAGTGTTGGGTAGTCAAGAAACATGTCCAAAAGCAATGAGTATAACAAAGATGTCAATGTTGAAATGTTGTGATGGATGAGCATTACAACTGAGCATATTCTTTGTCATCTAGGAACTTCCCAAATACTAATAGGTGATAAAATGAGGGAAAGTAGACTGAGACGGTTTACTGATGTCACAGAAGACCACAAATGGTGGCAGTGCCATTAGGAAGTAATCCGTTGCTAGTTGAATGGTTTGGGCATGCCAAATAGATTTGGGAATAGTGAGAAATGATTTGAGTGGAGTGGCAGAACAGATTTATGTAGTAGCTAACCGCCTAACCCTATATGGTCAGTATGAGGTTTTGTTAAGTTGAGTAGTGTAGACTAATACTTTGTTCTTTCAAACCTTGTCATTAATGTTTTATGTTTCATAACTTAAATATTAACTTTTTGTGGCATTTGAATCAGTTATTTATCTTTAGGGTCCTACTATGGTGCAGCCAAAGGTTTTTGTCTTACTGTAAGGCCAAAAATTGAGCCACTCAATTCATGGGGGTTGACGCCACAAGTAGGTACTTTACTAAATTCACTTCGGGGGGGGGG